GCTGCAACTCGGCACACTGAGCTGCACCACTAGATCTCGACTAAGTTGCTTTACAAATTGTTCATGAAGTTAGTGGGAGAATGGGTCCCGAGATTAAGCTCTGCCATCCTGTGCTCGTAAACCGCATAGTGTACTGTTCAGGACGCGGAAAATGAAAACAGATGAAGAAAGTGAAATTGACAAGCGTGTGGCATCGGTCACGATTGAATCAGATAGCCAATCGGAGGGGAAGGCGATCTGGCATCCTGAGCGTGCGTTGCGTCGGAAAAGAATTATGAAGCAGGACGGTTGTACTAAGATGGACATCGACCTGGCTTTTTCGCAGAATTCCGATACAAACCGAGGTAATCTAATGTTACTTTCTTCCGCAAATCTTCCGGGAGCCTTGTGTGATTTGGCCTTGTTATATTGCTGGTTAGCTACTTCTGAAGGGAGGCATCGTGTTTGCATCACTTTGTCGCTAGCGCTTCTTTTGTACATACGTTCGGAAAAAATTACACTGCTCAGGAGGGGTGCAAAATTTTTCAATTTTTGCCACACACATTTAGTAGCTCTTAAACATTTCAACTTCCTGGTACTACCAAACTCCAACGGGTTTGAAGGGTCTTCACTGGGCGAGCTATACATAACTGTGAGGTGTTTGGAAGGTTTTGATAAATCTCGTTGTAGATCACATAGTTCATTTTCGCAACCTCTTTGCGAACTGTAAAATGGAAGTTTGCGAATGAAGCCTGGAGTCGAGTACGAGCATTGAAATCGAGTTTACTGGTGGCTTTTAATGTCGCCAGGGACTTGTATTATGATATTATGCCGTTGCAAGATTGATTGCGTTTTGGAATCAAGCATGTTGAAATCAAGCAAGCACTATCTCAGGGTTGGAATGTAAAATTTAAAGGCTTTTCTTTTGAAAGGAGGGGCGGGAGAGGAGCTGGGAAGGAGAACAAAGGCGCTAGGTACGAGAAGGGAGTGTGTAGTCTCAGGTCGCAGGTAGTGCATGCGATGGCATCAATAATGTTATTCGCGGATGGTTTGTATGCTTGGTGTTTTTTGTAGATAAGTCCGCCCTTCATGAGTGCTCGCGCTGCTTTGACGGCTTGCTTGCGGACATGCTGATTGCGGACATGCTGATGCTTTAGTAATCGTTTTTTTTTTTCACAAAAAAACGCATTTTAGGCCGAAATAACGAGGCAACTTTTTTATGCGCATGTGAAGCACAGCGTTATGCAGTTTTCCAGTTTTTGTGTTGTAGCTCGTTTATAACCTGCAGTTTCAATATCGAGAATTTCTTGTCTCCTGTTCAGTTCTTTTTTCTGACAGTTTTCCCGCTCGGGGCTATTTCATTATCTGCTGTTGAAGTTATGTCCATCTACCATGTATATCGGACTGGACGTCCTC